AGGAGAGGGGGGGCCACAGGCCGTGAATGTGTTGCTGGAGACGCGCGCACACGCACGGCACGGCGCTGGGGGGGGGTTGACAAACGGGCTCGACGACGTGTCTCGAAGTGGACGCTTCGTTGGAGGCAATTATCACTTTTCTCAGCCACCCATCGTGCACAGGAGGCTGCGCTCGAGAGGGATCGCACTGGGTTCGCCGTTCGCCCCTCCCTCCGCCTCATCCTCCCACGCGTGCACTCGCGCCAGCCGGGGCAGACCTCAGGTCGCCGACTGCAGATAGCTTCCTGGCGTGTCCCCTGGAACAGCGCATTCCTAGCGTTCTCGAAGCTCGTCCTCACCGTGTTCCTGCGAACCCACCCACGCCTTTTTCACCCACCCCGCACCCTTTTTCTCGACCACCTCTGAGACCACCTCTGCAACCCCGCTGATGTTCACGTTTTTCTTGTTTGTTTTCTTATTTGGTCCCTCCCATGTTTTATGGCTCGCGCCGTGACTAGGAAGGAGGCTCGGCGGTAATTGAAGTAATTGGTGGGGGAATGTTGCGGAAGCTATTTTTCAAAAAACAAAAAACAGAAATTGCTCTGTTTTCTATGTAATTTGACTCATTAAATGTGTGCTGTACACAGCACGTTGAATCCCACACACCAGGTGGCGCCCAAAACAAATGACTCGCGGGGTGAATTGACCAATCAGAGACCTCCATTAGGTTGTAGGTTGTACCAGGTGGCTGATTAACCCCGCGCACTTCTATAGTTAGACTGTACCGCACGCAGGAGTGCGGGCGAGCTTGCCTATCGCCCCTGTCCACGGCGCCTTACGGGCCGGGGCGAGTAGGCAACCCGCCCGCACTCGTGCGAGCGGTACAGTCTAACTGCAGAAGTGCGCGGGGTTAATCAGCCACCTGGTACATAATCCTTATCAAATTTGTACATTCACCCACAAAAATGTATTCTCAATTCAAGAACATCCCCCAAATTTAAAGACAAATGATCTTCTTCTAATCCCCATTTAGTTGTTTTAAGGGTTTTAGGGGTTACAATAAGAACATTTGTCTTAAAATTTGGGGGATGTTCTTGAATTGACATAACAGTTTTTTGGGTGATTGAAAAAAATGCGGTACTGCATTTCAACATGCAAGTATACTACTTGCGTAGATAGATATAGACGTCGTATCTGAAGATTGTGGAGTTTGCATTCTGTCGTGCCCACAGTAGTAAGAAAACCCACAACTGCCACAACACTGCAGCGTCCGATATTGATACATCAGGTACATTCCCGGCAATTCGTAAACGTAAAGACAACTTACCATTTGCCGCCATTTGCCGTGCAAGTTACTATGGACACTTGTCGAGCAAGTTTTCTATATCTGTTGCCGTTTACCTGTATGACCCAAAACTTGCAAAAATGTGCACACTTTTGAAACATTTTGCACATTACGCAGTTGTGCAATATGATAAACACCAAACAATGTGCTGAATGGTGATTTCCAGCCTTTATGTGCGCAAGATTGCACATTTGTTTCACTGACGCGATTGGATGTGATGCCAATGACGTGACGTGAGCCGCGAGTGAGTACGCGGTGCACATTTGTTGACTTGGGTGATCCTCGAGGACCTTGCTGATCAGCAAGGACGCGCGAGCCGAGAGGGAAGAGTGAGAGTCACGGCAGACACAGAGACGAGAGATGGATAACGAAACACGCTTTCAAAATAGAGGCTGTAACGCGCCGGCGTAACGGGAGGCGACGTCGAGGTAACGTTATCCAATTACCCGCGAGTGACAATGCGGCGGCCGGCCGCGGCGGTAATTCAACCGTCAATACAAGCGATAGATATTTCAAGCGCCCAATTACCCAACAACGTTTCGCAGCCAATTTCCGAACAGATCCGTTGTGGGGGCGCCCCAGGTTGTGGGGGGCGGTCGGGCGAGGGTGGA